GTCTCGATCAGGCTCCTGTAGTCCTTCTTCAGAACCTCCGTCTGTCGCAGCCTGATGACGTTCACTCCCGCGTGCAGCACAACAGCTCCGACACGCTCGTCACCATTCAGGATCTCGGGAACCTGTGCAGCAACATTTAGAACACGAGCACCAGGAAAGCAGTGAGTGCGCACCTTACCTTTACCTGAGGTAGCACGGACATGACAGGCCATGGAGTCGTCTAGTAGACGGGGCTCTAGCCTGCGTGATCGTGTTTAACACTCCCCTCGGGAGGTTAGTGGGTACCCGTTGATGGCCCATGCATGTAGGGACCACAGCTCCGGGCGAGGATGCCAAATCGAGCCCTTGGCCTGTGAGAGGAGGTCTTTCCTCATCGGTATTGGCCATGGGGCAGTGCTTGTCAGCTGCATCAGAACTGGGAACCAAGCCTGGTTTTTCCAGAGCGGAGCCACAAGTAGCACTGAGCATCCGTTTTCCATGATTCGTTCCAATACCTGAGGCAGGAGCAAGATGGGGGGAAAAGCATAGAGTGGGCAGCGGGGCCAGATGTGGGCCAGCGCATCCCTGCTCTTGGAGAAAAACTTCGGACAGTGAGCGTTCTCTTGGGACGCAAACAGGTCTACCTGCGCTCTGCCGAATGTCTCCCACAGCACTAGAACCGTCTGCGGGTGCAGAGACCATTCTCATGGAACATTGTTTCTGGACAGTCTGTCTGGTCCCAAATTCAGGTAACCAGGCACATGTGCTGCTCTCAATGAGCGCAGATTGTGCTGAGCCCAGACCAGGAGGCGTTCCGTCAGCCTGTAAAGGTTTTGTGACCTGACGCCACCCTGGCGATTTATATAGGCCACCACTGACATGTTGTCCGAGCGGACCAGGACGTGGTGATTTTTTATCTGGGGACAAAAACTCCTCAGCGCGTTGTAGACTGCCATCATTTCCAGACAGTTTATGTGTTGAAGCTTCTCTCGTTCTGACCACTGGCCAAAGAACAGTCTGCCCTCGAGCAGGGCTCCCCATCCCAAGGTGGAGGCGTCCGTGGACACCACTTTCATACTCGAGGAAGTCCCCAGGTTTACACCTGACTGATACCAGTCGATTGCTCTCCAAGGTTTTAGAGCTGTGACGCATTTCTGATCGACCTTGAGTACTCGCGCTTTTAGCCATAACTGCAGCGGGCGCATGCAAAGCAGACTCAACTGGAGTACTGATGATGCTGAGGGCATGAGACCCAGCACTTTCTGAAAACTTTTGATTGGGACTATAGTGCCGCAGCGGAAGGATTTCGTAATGCGCTGAATGTTCAGTCTGCGCTCTGGCGATAGTCACGCTGTCATAGACAGCGAGTCCAGTTCTGTGCCCAGAAAAGATCTCTGACTGGGAGACAGCGAACTTTTCGCCCAATTGACTTTGAGACCTAGATTCTCGAGATGTTCGAGTAATATGGTTCTGTGTTCTATGAGCTTTGAGTGTGATTGAGCTAGAATCAGCCAATCGTCCAAGTAGTTCAAAACTCGTATGCCCCGAAGTTTCAGGGGTGCGAGAGCCGTCCATGCACATTGTAAATGTACGGGGTGCTAGGGACAGGCCGAACGGTAGGACTGTGTATTGACATGCCTGGCCCTTGAAAGCGATTCTTAAGAATCGCCTGTGACGTGACCCTATTTGTATTTGGAAATACACGTCCTTCAGATCTATTGACATAAACCAATCCTCTTGGCAAAGCTGCGCGAGGAATTTCCTGGTTGTGAGCATTCTGAACTGGCGTTTCACAAGCACTTTGTTCAGCTGTCTTAGATCTAGAATGGGTCTGAGACCCCTCTCTTTTTTCGGTTCCAGAAAATATCTGCTGTATAGACCCCCTTCGCTCTGAGCTTAAGATAAAGGCTCTATGGCCCCTTTGCTCAATAGTTTCGCTATTTCGCCTCAAAGTAGATGAGCTACTTCGGTTTTTACCATAGTTTCGACCCGCGCTGTGTAGAGGTAGGGACGTCGAGCGAACTGCAGAGAATAGCCTCTTTTTATAATGTTCAGCACCCATTCTGATACACCGGGAAGCTTTGCCCATGCATTCGCATGAATGGCTAGGGGCAGAATGAGATCTGGGCTCTGGTCGCAACATAGTGGCGGCCGGAGAGCTTCGGTGTGCTGTAACGTAAACGCTGTGTTTGCAGCATTTGAGGAGGGGGGCGCGCCGATCACGGCGGGCAGCCTGGCCGCGCTCAACTACCTTATAGCATTTTGCTGAGAAAGAGTGAGCGGGGCAAACCCCGTGGGGCTTAACATGTCTGTGAGTGAATGTGGGCGTGGGACAGCGGGCACATTTACTGCACTGAAAACACCGTCGGCCTGAGCTGACTGTATGTGTGTTGGTTTCGTTTTTACAGAAACTGTGGGACATGCAGTGTGTAGTGTTTGTGGGCACTGGGTTGTGGGCACATACACTACGTGTAATGCACAATCGACATGAGTTGATTTTATTTGTGCGAGCTCTGTACTGTGGCGGGCTGTGCTTGTGTGTAGAAATGAACACTGGGTTGTGGGCATTTTTATTACACTCATAAGACCATCGGCCGTGGCCGGAATACCAGAATTTACACTCTTTATGTGTGATTTATCTGGGTCGCCGTAAAAACGGCGTTTGTGTGCAGGCAAGCGGGCCGTGGTACTTAGCTTGTTTACTGCAGAATATACTGGAACAGTCGCATTGTCTGGAACTGAACGAGCGAAAAGTTTCGTTGAAAGTCTGGCCGCGGCGAGACTTGAACACCTTCGTTTTCCTAGGAGGGCTAGGAAGACTTTGAGGCCTCGCGCTTCATCTCAATCTTCGGCCGGGGCCCACGCGGAGGGGGGCGGCGGCCGGCAGAGCGAGAGCGTGGTCTCTGGTCCCGGGCTTGACGTCGCTGTGAAGCAGCGGCGGCGGGCTGCGGGCTGCGGCTGCGGCTGCGGCTGGGAGCTTCGAGCAGACGGCTGTTTAGGGCGACCTGCTGCGGAGCTAGAGCGCTTCGGCAAGAAGGGCTTCATAGCCTGTGACGTCTTCTGAACCTCGGCGAATCTATCCACGAAATTCTTGACGGATGATACGAAGAGGCCGGCTGGGGAGATGGGCGCGTCGAGAAACACAGAGCACTCCGATAGCGTCAGCCAAAGATGTCTCTCAGCAATGGTGAGAGAAGCCATGTTCCGCCCCATGGCCTGTGCAGCGGATTTCATGGCGCGAAGAGCCAGGTCCGTAGCGCTTCTTAAATCCGGCACGCTGATTGCTTCCGGCCCTTCCTCATCCAGTTTACGGAGAAGGTCGGCCTAGAAGATTTGCAGCACGGCCATCGAGTGCAACGCCGAAACAGCCTGTCCAGCAGCGGCATAAGCGCGACCGTGCATGGAGGAAGTAACATTGCAAGCTTTAGAGGGTAGCGCCGCCTTAGCTCGCCATCCAGCCGAGGCCGGGCAAAGATGGGCCGCTACAGCCTCTTCCACTGGGAGAAGAGAGAGGTATCTTTAGCACCATCCACCACGGAGAATGCTGCTGAGACAGAGGTGCGCACTCTGGCTGAGAAGGGGGCGTTCCAGGACTTTGCGACTTCTTTGTGAAGCTCCGGAAGAAAAGGCGCGGGCCTAGAAGACGGCGGGGCGCGGTCCCTTTTCAGGAAACATCCATCCAGCCTGTTGTGCGCGGGCTACGCGGGCTACGCTCCTCCCGCTCGAGGCCGAGGGTTGCCATGGCCTGTGAGAGCAGACGCATCAGCTCTGACTCGATGCTGGCCCGTTTCCCTGATGACTCACGGGCAGAGGAGGGGAGATCCACAGAGCTCGCCCGATCCTCACTGTCCGACGCCAGGATAGAGTAGCTGGCCTCCTCCGCAGATGCAGCTGTCTCGTCGAAATCAATGCCGGAAGCGGCGGCGGACGGCGGCCATTGTCCGTCTGTGAGCGATCCGAGTGAGGCTGGCGAAGCTGGCGGGCGAACCGGGGAGCTTTCGCGGGCTGGAGAAGGCTCGGGGACCCGCTGAGTGCGGCGCTTTTTACGGCGCGGCACTACAGCGGGTGTGGGTGCAGTCTCAGAGAAGAATGCCAGGCGAGTCCTCAGAGTCGCCATAGGCAGTAGCTCACTATGATGGCAGCCGCCGTCAGCGAGCGCGAGAGCTGCATGATTCTCACCCAGGCAGGAAACACATATCACATGGCAGTCCCCGTCGCTGAGTGGGGCTCGGCACAAGCCACAGGAAAGGGGCATCTTTGAAAAGACGCTAGCTCTTTTAGGAAAAAGAGAGAGAGTGTGAGTCGCGGTGGCGAACACACACTTCAGCAGAGTTAAAAGGATATATGCGCCGGAAAGCCGGTACGGCGACTGAAGGCGGCGAGATGAAGGCCAGCGGCTTCAGGTACAAAGGCTCATCCCGCAGAAGGCTTGTTCTCAGACGGCGCGGCTTCTTCATTCAGGATCCAGCGATGCGTGAGCTTCGCTGAAGAGATGAAAAATCAGATTATATCAGCCCATCGAGCTGTATTTATAGGCCCAGGCCACGCCCGTTTCGGCGGGACGTGACGTCGTGGGCGCAAAGCGCCCCCATTGGATCTGACGTCACCAAGGGCCTCTCTCGTTAGGCTGCTGCAGTTGCCGCAGGACAGCCTATAGGCACGCGAGCCGTCTTGCCTATGTCTGCATGCTGCCGCAACGCGTTTTACATTCATTCAAAATTAAAGATAATTTTTGGATTCAATATCTTGTGGAAAAGAGGTTTTCCCCTAGCGTAAGATATTACGCAGTATGAGAGAACCTCTCGTAAGAGAACTCTAATGGTATCTCATTTATATTAAAATACTAGAGATTAGTGGACACTGTAACCGCACAGTAGCTGTGATAGTCGTCCTGTACAGAGTCATTGGAGCAAAGATAAGGTGCTTGTTTGAGGACACTGTGGCTGTTGAATTCAAGGAAAGACTATCAGTCAGAGTAAAGTCTGTTATCTTAGAGGTCACTTTTATAACACCCCTGTCATTTTCTTTTACAGTTTTTTTTGCAATCAATTCTTGAACAAACACGATGACCACACTGACTGGATCAGACTCAAACTTCACCTTCCTGGAGGAGGGATTCTGTGCACGGGATATCGTGGAACAGAAGATCAACGAGCCATCCTTATCGGTGAGTTAACCCTTTCTTTTATACCTGCATCCCTACTTGTCCGCCTAAGGCAAGGAATGTTTTTTTCGGCAATTTTGAGATTTGGGGCTATTTGGCTTTTTTTTTACATGAATGTTGTCTTTTCACTTATACTTTCCATATATATTATTATGAAGGTTTTTACAGAGGTAACCCCCCCCCCCAAATATCTTTTGCCTGATTTTATACAACATTTTATTTCTAAAAACATGTTTTTTTTTTTTTCTGGTTGTTGGCAGTGTTGTCTGATTTATGGAGTGATGAGAACTTTAATATGTCAACAAAATAAAACAAGAATTTTGAATCTGGCTTTATCTAACGTTCCGATTTCTGTTCTGAAAATGTATGTATAAAAGTGTGTTTTTAATTAGATCATGCTCATTTGTGTATTTTAACATAATATTTCAGAAAACTAAAGAGAATGTTTGCAAGTCTTAATATAATCAGTCAGCTGGGAAGTATGATGTCGTTTTTTTAACCCTATTCACCTGTGGTGTCTTGCTTTAATTGCTGTAAAAAATAATAAATGTTAATATAAAAGAATATGGCTCCTTTTGTTTATGCACAAGGTTTTTGTGATGAAATGTGACACGGTCACGTTTTCATGAGATTCGCGCACTATAATTCATCTTGATATACTTCCATTTGTTCCTAAATGGGGCTGCATATACAGTCAAGAGTTCTGATCACATCTCTTCTCTTCCTTTAGGATGACAAAGATGCCTTCTACGTGGCTGACCTGGGTGACGTCCTGAAGAAGCACCTCCGTTGGTTGCGTGTTTTACCCCGAATCACTCCGTTCTACGCAGTGAAGTGCAACGACAGCAAGGCTGTTGTCTCGACACTGGCGTCTCTGGGAGCGGGATTCGACTGTGCGAGCAAGGTATGGAAGATCCTTCATTCAAGTCCCTTAAATCGCAAATGTGACTTCTCCATGTGTCTCAATAACCTCAGCAGCAAAAACTAAGTATGTTTAGCAGCTTTAATCCTGTATTAACCTGACTTTCAATCCTCTGCTCCTCTGCTAGACGGAGATCCAGCTCGTGCAGTCTGTGGGTGTGGACTCCAGCAGGATCATCTATGCTAACCCCTGCAAGCAGGTGTCTCAGATCAAATACGCCTCCGCTCACGGCGTGCAGATGATGACGTTTGACAGCGACGTGGAGCTCATGAAGGTTGCACGATGCCATGATAGTGCCAAGTGAGTAACGTCGCTAGAAAACCATGGCTGTGTCCGAAATCGATACTGGTTACTAACGTAACCTCGGTTCTCTCTAGAAGAGGGAACGAGTATTGCGTAAGTTTAGCTTACGCTTCGGGAAAGATTCATCTTCTCGACATATTGAAGCCAAAAAATTATCCTTAATTTTGTATATGTTGTCAACGCAGTGCAGCAGCTAGGAGACCTAGAGCGGGCATTCTAGCGCGCTCATAGGCTGCCCTGCGGGAACTGCACAGCCTACCAGTGAGCCCGACGTGACGTCACGTCCAAGCGCCCTCGCCGCGTCCTAGCCCACCAGAATGGGCGTGGCTTAGCGTATATAAGCGGGGCTTATATAGCGCTTGTCGCGTTTAGCACGGCAGGTTACGTAATACTCGTTCCCTCTTCTAAGAGAACCGAGGTTACGTTAGTAACCAGTATCGTTCTCTTACGAGAGGTTCTCTCGTATTGCATAAGTTTAGCTTACACTACGGGAACCCATTGTCTACGCCGTGCGCGCCCGCATCCACCTCATGAGTCACAGCACTTCTGTGAACCCAGAAAGTGGGAACAACACGCATGTACATAAGCGTGAGCATAAGCGCGAGTACTATGAGCGTATAAGCGCGTGTAAACAAGCACTGACAGGCAATACAGAGCGGCTGTGTGTGGCCGGTGTATAGGCATATATAGCACACAACCTGAAACAGCGCAGCTCAACCAGAAGAGCTGAATTCATGTGAGGGTAGTCTGCGCACGATAGTATCTGGAAAGGGCTAGCCTCTCACTTAAACAGACAGCAGTTTCGCCTGCAGGGCGGGAACTTCTAGGTTATAAAACCTGACAAAGGTGGATGGGGAGGACCAGCCCGCCGCCACACATATGTCTTGAATGGAAATTCCGCTTGACCATGCACACGACGAGGCCACGCCTCTAGTGGAATGAGCCGTGATGCCCAAGGGGCACTGCAGACCTTTTGCCGTGTAAGCGGCTGCGATTGCGTCTACTATCCACCTGGACAGGCTCTGTTTCGAGGAGGCGAGACCTTTAGTGCGCCCACCGAAAGAAACAAACAGCTGCTCAGAGCGCCTGAATGGGGCGGAGCGCGTAATGTACAATCTCAGAGCTCTGACTGGGCAGAGGAGATTAACATTACTTTCACTATCTGATGCTGGCAGAGCCGATAGAGAAATGACCTGTGCTCTGAATGGGGTGCCAACCACTTTGGGAACGTAACCATGTCTAGGCTTGAGGATGACTTTAGAGTCAGTTGTCTGGTTGTAAGCATTTTGAACGGTCTTTTCATAAGAGCTTTGTTCACATGCCTCAAATCCAGTATGGGTCTGAGTCCCCCGTCCTTCTTGGGCACGAGAAAATAACGGCTGTAAAAGCCTGACTCGCTCAGAGAAGGCGGTACCAGTTCTATGGCCCCTTTGCACAGCCGTTTTGTTATTTCTGAGTGAAGTAGGTGTGCTACTTCTGCTTTCACTGTCGTCGCGGTCCGCGCTCGAAACTGAGGGGGACGGCGGGCGAACTGTAACGCATAACCCTGCTTTATAGTGCTTAGCACCCACTTCGATACCCCTGGGATGTTTTCCCTATGCTTTTATATGTGCAGCTAATTGTAGAATGGACTCCGGGCTCTGGTCGCCGCGCTGTGCGGGCTCGAGAGACTGAACCGAAGGAGATTCCCATATGGGGCGGCTCGCTGAAAACAGTGACAGGCTGTTTCATATGCAGCTTCCCGATTACTGTGAATGGGGGGAGCTTTGTGATCACATTGTGATGCGCGAGCGGCGCCTTGAGAGGCGTGCAGGCTTGTAAGCGCGGGCGCTCGTGGGCGGACGTGCGACTTACAACCATAGATTGACCGGCATGAGCTTGCGCTTTGTGGCGTGTGTTTAACAGCACTGGCGAAGCGCGAGTTAGTAAACGTGAGCGCTTGTGAGCGGGTACGAGACTTACGTTTATATTGTGGCTCATGTGGGACTGCGCACTGTGGTGCGCGCGCGGCTTTATGTGAAGCGCGTGGCTTGGCCGTATGACAGAGCGGGCAGATAGAAGATGTGTGCACATGGGCACATCTGCTATGGGCAACACTCGAGCAGCATTTGCCTGCTTCATGAGATTGGGCTCTATGTGAGACACGGGAAGTGTTGTGTTTACATGTAGGGGTGAACACTGGGTTGTGGGCACTTTTACTACACATAAAACACCTTCGGCATGAGCCGGATAACCAGATAACTTGCTCTTTATGAGATTTCTCTGGGTCGCCGTAAAAACGGCGTTTGTGTGCAGGCGAGCGGGTTGTGTAACCGACTCGTTGACTGCTAAATGATCCACTGCAGTAGCCTGAGATGAGGGGACTGACAGGGCTAGAAGTTTTGACGGTGGTCCGGCCGCAGCGAGACACAACCGTCTTTTTCCTCCTGATGGCGCTAGGAGTGCTTCGCGTGCTCAGGTTTGTCTGGGCTGAGCTGGGCCCTGCGTGGCGGCTCGTGCAGGCGGCTGGTCACATGAGCGACCTGCAGCGGAGCTAGCGCGACGCGGCAGGAACAGGTTCATGGCTTGCGACGTTTTCTGCACCTCAGAAAAATGTTTGACGATCCCGTTCACTGCTGGGCCGAAGAGACCGGAGGGTGAAAGAGGGGCGTCGAGGAAAACGGATCGCTCAGACTCTCTCATGTCAGCCAGCGTCAGCCAAAGGTGCCTCTCAGTTACAGTTAACGAGGCCATGCATCTCCCCAGGGCCTGGGCCGCAGACTTGGTAGCGCGAAGGGAGTGATCCGTCGCGCTCCTCAGATCCGTAACGGCAGCTGGGTCCCGGCCTTTCTCGTCCCACTCACGGAGGAGATCGGCTTTGAGAATTTGTAGAACAGCCATCGAGTGCAGGTCGGAAGCTGCTTGTCCGGCGGCGGCGTATGCGCGACCGACAAGGGCAGATGTGGGCCTGCAGGCTTTAGATGGTAGGGCAGACTTTGAGTGCCATCTCGCGGAGGGCGGGCAAAGGTGCGCTGCGACAGCTTCCTCGACCTTTGGAATGGAGCTATATCCCTTCTCGGCGGCGCCGTCCACTTGGGAGAGCGACGCGGAGACAGAGGAATGAAGCCTCACGGAGAAAGGGGCATTCCATGATTTAGCCAGTTCTGAGTGCAGCTCAGGGAGGAAGGGCACGGGCCTGGAAGCGGGCGCTTGACGGCGCTTCTCTGATTCTCTGATGGCTGCTGATGGCTGCTGAGATTCTCTGATTCTCTGAAGAAAGCAGCCATCAAGCCTGTTGGGGGCGGGCTCCTGAGGTGGTGACCACTCGAGCCCGAGGCGGTGGACGGCCTGTGACAGGAGGCGCAACAGTTCGGCTTCCGCTCCAGCGCGTGTTCTCCCAGACTCCTGAATAGAAGAGGAGGCGGAGCGTTGAGAGCTCGACCAGTCCTCGCTATCCGAAGCTAGGATGGAACAGCTATCTCCTGCAGCGGGTCCATCCGCGTCGTCCTCAGACTCGACGGCAGGGCGGGCCTTAGCCGGCGGCTGCGCGTCGGTGAGAAGAGGCGGGGAGGGCGTCGGCGAGGCTCGAGGGAGGGACTCCTGCGCGGTGCAGCAAAGGTGCAGCAAAGGGCGGAGAGATAGGTTCGTCCTGGAAGGCTTCGAGTCGAGCCCGCAGGGTCAACATCGGAAGATCCTCACAGTGCTCACATCCTCCCGAAGAGAGGGCAAGAGCAGCATGTTCCTGTCCCAGGCAGAGAGCGCATATAACGTGGCGGTCTCCGACACTGAGAGGGGCTCTGCACGAGCCGCAAGTGGACCGAGGCATCTTTAAAAAGACGCTCGTGCTCTTTTAGATGCTCGGATTTGCAATGAGAAAAAGGATACAACGCCGGATAGCGTAGCTCGCTTCGGAAGGCTGAAGGTGGCGAAGGCGGCCGGCTTCCTCAGTCACTGTCCTAGCTTGCTTTGTCGCTGTTTCAACGGCGGCGGCTTCTCAAGGTCCAGCGATGCGAGCAGCTTCGCTGAAGAGATGAAAATCAGAGAATCAGCCTCCGAGCCCCGCTTATATACGCTAAGCCACGGCCATTCTGGCGGGCTAGGACGCGGCGAGGGCGCGAACGCCCTTGATTGGACGTGACGTCACGTCGGGCTCACTGGTAGGCTGTGCAGTTCCCGCAGGGCAGCCTATGAGCGCGCTAGAATGCCTGCTCTAGGTTTGCTAGCTGCTGCATTGCGTTGACAACATATACAAAATTAAGGATAATTTTTTGGCTTCAATATCTCGAGAAGATGAATCTTTCCCGTAGCGTAAGCTAAACTTACGCAATACGAGTGAACCTCTCGTAAGAGAACTCCCACTACTCACTATATAGTGGACTATATAGTGAGCTGGCCATTTTGTAGTGCTGTCCGAATGTATAGTGATGATTATTATACCCTATATAGTCCACTCAATGTATCCCAGAATGCATTTTGAAAAGTAGTGTACAACCGATGGTCACTAACCCAAGCCCTACATACCATCATGCATTGCGCTGATCGTAAAAGACCTATCAGCATCATCTTCATCTTTAACTTACAATTTGACGACGTCTCGCTAGCGTAGCAAGAACAGCACGTCGTTTTCTGTGTCTAGAAATCCTGTTTCTTTTGCTAATCCGCAAAATCTTCTGAATCACGAGAACAAACAAACAAAAAAGATAAATATTGAGTGGCATCTCCACAGAGTCTAAAAGCTGTTTTATTAAGAGTATTATGAGCAAGATATTTGATAACGTAGATCTGTTTTTTTCCCCTAATGTCGACAGGCAAGAGAAAACGGTGTGGCGCGAAAATGAAAATATATGAAATATGTGTATTAATTTTATTTATGTTTATAAGTTATAATCATGTGTGGAGTAACGCATTATAACAGAAACGGCCAGAAATGACTTTTAATTTTACAATTTTGTAGAAATAAGCTCAATATAATGTAATGTATTTATAAAAAAAAAAAATCTATTTAGCCCAGAGCTGGCTCGGCACCAGCTGACAGATGATGGCGCGTTTAAATAGTGCGACAGTAATGACATAATCAATGGCGCCGAGAGACGATCGAGTACTGTCTGAAAGTGGTGTTTCTATTATGCTGGTGTGCTCACTATATAGTGCTCTACTCCCTACCCCCTACATAGGGGTTAGGGCAGGGGTCTCAAACTCAACTTAACTGGGGGCCGCTGGAGGTAGAGTCGGGGTCAGGCTGGGCCGCATCAAGTATTCCACAAAAAAATAGTATTCAAGTATTCCAAAAAAAGGAGCACAACTGATCCAATCTTCTCAATATTTATTATTAACGTTTCTTCTGATCTGTTCCTCTGAATTTGAGCATTCCTTTCTGTACATGATTGGTTCTTCATGAGCTGTCCTTCTGACAGTTGAAGTTCATTTTACAAACTTTCTTTATCTTTTCCTTATAACACATATTTGTGGTACTTATATTTCCTCATGTCCTTTTTATTTTCAATATGATATTGAATGTTTTTTTGGAAGGCACATTTCCTTTTATTATACTTAGAAAAATAATTATTGCTTTTGAAATACAAATATTTGCAGTCATGTCTGCCCGTCTTATTGAATTCTTTCTACACATGTATAGTGTCTCAGGCAAATTACTGACTTTGCACAAATCAAAGCAAACCTTCTTATCAACCTGTTGGACACATATTACAAGCTCAAAATGACTATTCTCACATTGTTTTAGAGCAGGGGTCTCCAACACGTCGCTCGTGAGCTACCAGTAGCTTGAGGCCTGATTGGTGGTAGCTCGCCAAGGGGCCGTTCACATATCGCGCTCACATATTTTGCGCGCTCAAGTTCGTTATTTCAAATGTAGGCACGCGGCAAGCCCGCTCATAATTGAAGCGACGCGCTCATTTTTTCCAGGCGCAGTATGTTTGTACTTCGCGGTTGTCTATGACAACTATTGACAACAAACCCACCGTAAGCTGTCACGAGACTATCTATGGTAGCCCATAAGGGATAAAAAAAATAAAAACGCGGCACACGCAACGACGGGCCGCACTAACATTAAACTTTAATGTCAAGTAGGGGGCCACAAAATATCACCCCGCGGGCCTCAAATGGCCCTCGGGCCGCGAGTTTGAGACCACTGGGTTAGGGAGTAGTGGTTTGAGTGAAGATTTCGGACACAGCCCATTTCTCACTTTCAGTACACAAATTAATAGTGGTCGACCGATATTATATATATAAATATATATATATTAAATGTATTGATAGTAAACAAGCATAACAATTACTGCAATTGTATTTTACATACAATTTACTTAACTATTTTTCAACTTGGAAAACAATTTTGGTAACACTTTATTTTGATGGTCCCTTTTGAACATCCTGTTGACTATAAGTAACTTTGCAACTACATGTCAACTAACTCTCATTAGAGTATCTGCCAACTGTTTATTGTGATGCTCCTCCAACAGACATTCTACAGACTGTAAGTAACTTTGCAACTACATGTCAACTTATTATATCCCTAACCCTACCAGTCTACTAATACTCTACTAACACTCTAGTGAGAGTTAGTATAGATGTAGGTGCAACTTTTCTTATAGTCAACCGAATGTGTAAAAGGGACCATCCAAATAATGTGAAACCAAAATTTTAATATAACAAATCTGTCAAACTTAAGAAATTAACTGTTAAAGACTAAGTAAAGACTAAGTCTGTGCTCAGGTGTTCTCAATCAAAATGAAAGTCCCACTCATGACACTTATAATGTCGATAATGTAAAAAAAACAAATATTGGTTGACCACTACAGACTAATAAAAGAAATGGAAGACTGTGACAAGGTTTTCATGACCATTAAACCCATTCTCTGTGTCTGCAGACTGGTTCTCCGTATCATCACTGACGACTCCACGGCCGTGTGCAGATTAAGTATGAAGTTTGGTGCCACGTTAAAGAGCAGCCGGTTGTTGCTGGAGAGGGCGAAGGAGCTTGGGCTGGATGTGATCGGAGTCAGTTTCCATGTGGGCAGCGCATGCACTGATCCGGAGACATACAGGCAGGCCATCTCAGATGCACGCTGTGTGTTTGACATGGGGGTGAGTGGCCTTTTACTGTAGAAATTCAAAAAACGCCCTCATTTCTGCGATAGTGTATAATTAATCTGAAAAATGCATTGTCCACCAGGCGGAGCTGGGATATAACATGACCCTGATTGATATTGGTGGAGGCTTTCCAGGCTCAGATGACACCAAACTGAAATTTGAAGAGGTAAAAAATTTTTTTTTTTAAATCAAAGGTGATCAAAGACGTTTAGATAAACTTTTTTTTTTTTTTTTGCAGATCGCTGCTGTGATTAACCCTGCACTGGATAAATACTTCCCTGCTGACTCCGGCGTAAGGATCATTTCTGAACCTGGCCGCTTTTACGTGGCGTCTGCATACACACTGGCGGTCAACATCATTGCCAAAAAGGTCATCATGAAGGAGCAATCGGCCTCTGACGGTAAAAGCTAACATCCAAAACCATGTTTGTTTCTAATATGCTCTTTATATTCAGCAATATTATCGATTTCACTGCACTGACACAATCGGATAAGAAAATTTGAACTGAACTGAGATGGGTTATGACTCTAATTTGCAGCATCGTCACTGTTATTGAACTGAATTTAATCAACATTGAACTGACTTGAGCTGAATAATGACACTCGTCTTCTTTAGAGCTGCTTTTAGCTGAATTGAACTTTTTGTGTAATTGTTGAAATTTGCAGTATTGACACTATTATTGACCTGAATTGAATCCTCATTGGAGCGCCATATGAATAAATGTGATGACTGACTTGGTTTAATTTTTTCCCCCACTTCAGAAGAAGAGGATGGGACCAATGACCGAACCTTGATGTACTACGTGAATGATGGCGTTTATGGTTCCTTCAACTGCATTCTGACCAACCTTGCGCATGTCTTGCCCACTCTGCACAAGGTGTGGAAATGTTTAGCCCATCAGATTATCCTTTTTTTTTTTTTAGTTCGATAATGGAAAACTAACCCGTAACCCGTACTCTTTTGTAGAAACCCAAGCCTGATGAGCGCATGTACCCATGCAGTATTTGGGGACCCACCTGTGATGGGCTCGACCGCATTGTGGAGCAGTGCAGCCTGCCGGACATGCAGGTGGGCGACTGGCTGCTGTTCGAGAACATGGGTGCCTACACTGTAACCATATCCTCCACCTTCAATGGCTTCCAGAAACCCGATATTTATTACATCATGTCCCGAACAGCCTGGTAAGTTGGGAAAGCCATTTTCATGATGTTAACTGTTCTTTAAATTATTTCGTTTGATGTGGACCAAACACCTTATTAAAATGCTCAGTAGTATCTAAAATAACACTGAATGTCTTAAATATTTAGTTTAAAATGACTCAATTAATATTTTTAAATATCTAAAAATAATACCCCTATCCAAACAAAAGTATGATTATTGGGTAACACTTTACAAATATAGCTGCGAGCAGCGATTACGGGCCCAAGCCGGTGGCACCGCAACCCGGGGTGGCGGTGCCGCCAGCTTTGGCCCTTCATCGCTGCTCGCAGCTATATTTATATATATATATATATATATATATATATATATATATATAAAAGCCGGTGGCACCGCCACCCTGGTGCCTTTAGGGTTATTGTGCACAACGTGACACAAAATATCTGCTCGCTATCTGCCGAACGGCTCTGGTAGTTCCGCTACAGCACTGATGATGTTGTAGAAATAGTGTGCTCTGGTTGGTCTGGATTATTCGGGATTTTTTATTTTATACAGAAATAAGTTATTTATAATTCAGATGAGAATAAAGTTAGTGTTGATTAAAATGAAGGAAAACAAATATATTGATCTGAAATATAGCACATTAGTTTTAAATTTATTTAGGTTCAAAAACCAAACATACAATCTTAATTTAATTTAAAGCAAACAGTACATTTAAAATATATGGGTTGTATGCACATTTTTTTTTTATAAAAAAAAGATATATATCCAAAAAGACAAGGCCTTAAAGGGTTAAACTAATAAGCACTTTGAATATTCTAAACAGAATAAGCACTAGTCGCTAATGAATAAGTACTAGTACTTAATGGAATAGATACTAGTATCTAAAAAATAAGTACTAGTAGCATGAAAATAGAGACTAGTAGGTTAAAATGATTAAATGTTAAAACGGCTTGCCACATTGGCTCAGAGAGAGAGAGAGAGAGAAAATGACCTTTTAGATACTAGTACCTATTAATAGATACTAGTATTTATTCAATAAATACTAGTACTAAGTCATTAGATACTAGTACCTATTAAATAGATACCAGTACTTATTCATTAGCTACTAATACGCATTCAAAAGAATATCTAAAGAATAAGCACTAGTATCTAAAGAATAGCCACTAGTACTAAAGAATAATACTCAAAGATTCAATGACCAATCCATAAACATCTGTCTCATTCATGAATGACTCAGTCGTTCGAACGAATCATTTGAACGAATGAATCAATGACTCGCTCATTAAGACGGTCGCCTGGCGACACCTAATGACGGTTTAGTGTTATGTTTAAAAGTATTATTCTTTCCAACTCATATTTAAAACAATCTCATAACATTATTTAATGCATTGTTATTTTTCAGTGTAAACGATTTAATTTGATCACCCCTACCTAGAGTAACAGCCATATAGTGTCTTATTATTCTAAATAATTGAATTTATTGATCAAATTTACAAATTAAAAATGAAAAATGAAGCATACATTTAATAAGACTAGACTAGGGGTGCCCAGCAGATATTACAATATGCAGATTTAAATATACCATGGCCCCCCACCGTCAATTTGGTGTGTGTGTATAATAAAATCATTTAGTCACTACAATTAAAACTTGAACATGTTTGCTTACTAAATTGTGAGCAGAACGAAAGTCGCAGCAAAGATCAGCAACAGGAGTCAAAATTCATTAATCACGAGAGTGAAGAGCTGACTGGAAAAATTATGACGGAATATTTTGTGTAAAAGCGCCTATTGAAGCGAATCTGTCATTTACTCTTTTGTTGTTGTGTTTTCCCTGAAAACCGGAAACAATCGGCCCCCGATATGGTGCTAATTTTAAAGTGACACTAAAAAGTATGCGGCTGCACTGGCAATGGCGTCCATGGCGACGAGCGAGCAAAACAGAGCGAATGTTTTTTCATTTCTACTTCCATAGAAATTCATTCGAGCGCACTGTGAGCGCCACCACTATAAATGTCCTTACTTTACTTTCACTTTTAACTTAGCGATTTAAAAGCCCCCGGTGTTACACGTCAAATAACCGGTGAGAAAATATTCTCGGAGTCACATAGCAGCTACCTAAAATACAATAGGCCTACCTGATTTTGAACACAAGAGGGCAGTATAGCCCTATGTATTATTTGATATATTTATTTTTTAACTGAATAGTGCATCCTGGCTGTTTTTAAACTTGTACATCATTCTTAAATTGAAAACAAGAATAAAATGGGTTTAGTTCTGATATTTGTATAATTTTATCTAGAAATAAATGGTGTGTAATTAAATTTTTAGAAGATATGAGGCTTTTAGTGTTTATTTTTTTTACATGACTTTAATCCCTCGCCATAGCAAAACAATTAGAGATATTCAATAGATATTCACAATTATGCTTCTTTAATGTATTTTCATCATGTTGAAAACGTTTGGTGGTAATAAAATAAACCACTTAAGAGGAGTGGGTAAAAATGTAGAGCCTGGTTTTGCAAAACATCCACATTAAGACCAAAATAGCCCACTTCCTGTTGGGCTGGCTAAAACTTGTTTGGCCCGATGAGATCTATATGTGTACCGAGTTTCATAATATTACATGCAAGTGTGTGTTGATTTATGGACCAAATTTTCTGACCAAGTTTATGGACCAAGTTAATTTAATTAATAAACTAATAATTATATAAAACTATTTTCAATGCACTACAATTCAACTGGTTATATGCCTTTACTTATTAATACAACTTATTTAAAAAATACAAGGCGTAAGACATTTATTTTCTTTTTTAATGCAGGCCAAACCACACAGCAGTCAAATGGTTAATCTAGCCCCCCTCCCCCTCCCCCTCCCCCTCCCCACACTCACAGACACACACACACACACACAGAGACGTAGGCTCAGAGAGAGAGAGAGACATAAAATGACAATTTTCAAACCAAAATATCTGACTTCCTGTTGGTTGGAGCTATTGAGTGTAAATTAGAAAGTTGTCTGGCTCGAGGAGAACAATACACATACCGATTTTTATTACTGTAGATAAAATAAATCCCCCCACTTTTGACAAAAGGTGGCGCTACTGAGCCCCTCACCACGCCCGTTTCTGAAACTTTGCACATATCTACTGGCTAATAAATGTGATGTGTCTGTCGAGTTTCATGCAATTTCAAGTATGCTAAGAGTCTCAAAAGCATAAAAAAAGAATGTTAAAGTTTGATGCGTTGCCACGACAACAGTATCTAAGATATCAAGAATCCATTCACAGGTCTACATCTGCCGTGTGTTTACATTATAGTAGTGAAGTTTGAAGCAAATCGGGTTAAAATAAGAGGGTGATTTCAAAGCAATTTGAAAGTGACACACTTCCTTCTGCCAGTTGGTGGCGCTATAACTTTAACTCACAAGAGTCACATCCATGTGATCGGCCTCTTACGACGAACACACTACTGAAGTTTCATCAAGATCAGTTAATGTATGAAGAAGTTATAACACACTTCCTGTTTCCATTATTCGCCATAATTTCGTTTCCTCGCCACGGCCAAACCGTTCGAGATATCAAAAATCCGTTCGCAATTTGGGATCCTCAATGTCTTGACTTCATGCACACCGAGTTTGCTGACGAACGGATAAATCCCCTAGGAGAAGTGTTTCAAATTCCCGAGCATGCGTTTCCAAACAACCCAAATAACTGACTTCCTGTTGGGCTGCCGTAAAACTTAGAGCAGGAAAGTTGTTCGGCCCGATGATGTCTATAGGTGTAGCCAGTTTCAGATTATTACATGCAAGCGTGTTTGATATATGGACATGTTTTCGAATCTCGTTCCAGGGGGCGCTGTCGAGCCCCCCTGCCACGCCCGGGTACCAGCTTCAGCCCGGCCCTGATGGCCGCGGGTTCTGACCCGTGTGCAAAGTTTCAAGAGTTTTCGAGCACGTTAAGGGCCCCAAAATTGTCAAAAAGGTAGTAAAATAATAATAATAAGTCGGAATAATAATAATAATAAATATAGCTGCGAGCAGCGATTACGGGCCCAAGCCGGTGGCACCGCAACCCCAGTTCCTTTAGTTACCTAAAGGCACCGGGGTGGCGGTGCCGCCGGCTTTGGCCCTTCATCGCTGCTCGCAGCTATATTTATATATATATAAAAAGCCGGTGGCACCGCCACCCTGGTGCCTTTAGGGTTATTGTGCACGACGTGACACAAAATATCTGCTCGCTATCTACCGAACGGCTCTGGTAGTTCCGCTTCAGCACTGATGATGTTGTAGAAATAGTGCGCTCTGGTTGGTCTGGATTATTCGGGATTTTTTATTTTATACAGTAATAAGTTATTAGGGCCCAAGCCTTGAAAAGGCGAAGGCCCTATTGTTTTCCTAAGGATTATTTTTTAGGGCCCAAGCCTTGAAAAGGCGAAGGCCCTATTGTTTTCCTAAGGATTATTTATTATTATTATTATTATTATTATTCTTTTTCTATCAACCTTTCGGGCACTTTTGGGGCCCTTAACGTGCTCGAAAACTCTTGAAACTTTGCACACGTGTCAGAACCCGCGGCCATCAGGGCCGGGCTGAAGCTGGTACCCGGGCGTGGCAGGGGGGCTCGACAGCGCCCCCTGGAACGCGGTCCGAAAACTGGGTCTATAAATCAAACACGCTTTCGTGTAATAATTTGAAACTTGGTACACATATAGATCTCATCGGTTCATATATCCTTCATGCTCTTACTTTTTACGCCAGCCCAACAGGAAGTCGGCTATTTAGGGTTGTTTGGAAACGCATGCTCAGGAATTTGAAACACTTCTCCTAGGGAATTCCGCCGTTCGTCTCCAAACTCGGTGTGCATGTAGTCAAGACATTGAGGATCCCAAATTGCGAACGGATTTTTGATATCTCGAACGGTGTGGCCGTGGCGAGGAAACGAATTTATGGCGAATAATGGAAACAGGAAGTGTGTTATAACTTCTTCATACATTGACTGATCTTGATGAAACTTCAGCAGTG